GTGAAGCGTCGCCGAATGCGAATCCGTCCGCCGGACTCCCAGTGGCACGTCGAATCGGACTGGCATCGGCCAAGCACCGGACCAACAAGGCAATATCGGCCGACCGTCGAACCAACAAGGCAATATTGGCCAAGATTGGCCTAATAAACTGGGCGCCCTCCCTCCCCCTCCCCACCGCAGGGAGATCAGATCGAGGGCAACGCAATGGCCAGCACAGGAGGGCAACAGTGACCGGCGATTCTCGGTCCTGATAATTTTATATTCCCTCTCCCCCGAATATAGATCGATTCACCGGGCCCAAGGTGCACGCGAATTCATAAAGATTACGCAGCGATAGCCGGGCGCACGCAATCGGACGGACTCCAGCGCCGAGTTTCTATCGCGTTCTGCCTGCCCTTCATTACATCCACCTTCGCTTTTCCCTCGGATCGTGATTAAGCCAAGGTCGAAGGGATGGGAAAACGGGGAAGCGGGGAAGCGAGGAAGCGGGGAATCGGGGAATCGGGGAAGCGATGGAATGCGGCCTCCGTTGAACTCCGCGATGTCTGTGGAATGGTTAAGTCCTTCCCCGGTTGAGATTGCGTGAAATCCTCTTTTTTTTTGTTAAGTTACCGGGTGAACGGCCGACCAGCTGCGAAAGCAGATCACAGATCAACGGTCGAGTCGATATTTAATCTCGCCGTGAAATTCCAACTCCCCCACCACCTTGCCCCCCCCTGCCCACCTTGCCCCCCCTGCCCACCTTGCCCCCCCCCCCTGCCCACCTTGCCCCCCCCTGCAGTTGCAGCATTTTCCATAGCCAAATTTACCGCTTGTTAAGTCTAAGACACAGAATCAGCGGCGCAGCTGCACCGGTGCCTTCAGCCGGGTGATACCAAGAGAGTCGCTCTCGATCGCTCATCGGTGCCAATGTTGCATCGTCGTGACAAGGAAAGCTCAATATTCTTCGACGCAGCCCACGACTGAAATTGGGGTGCAGACGACCGATAAATTATTCCACGGGAAATAATCGAGTCCCGTGTCACTGTCGCAATGGATCATAAAGGTCATAAAGGACACTCCCATTACGGGTCATTTGTCTTTTTTTGTTTTTACTCGATGCGCAGCCCGCTTCATGCCATTTTGGCTCCCTTAGTTACTTCAGAGAAATCTTTCGAGTTTTTCTTGCCATTCCGACTTTTAAAAAAAATCGCAGGAGGGAGCCGCCTTCCTTCCAAAAACCGAAGGCGGTATTTCTTTTCGCATCGACCAGAATCGACGCCAATGAGAAAAGACTTCGAGAACTCGGCTCGGGGAGGACTGGAGGATGAAATTCGGTGAGAAATTCGGTTCAAGTCAGTGAGATTTTAAGAGTTAAACAAAAAAAAAATCTGTGAAAAAAAATACTTTGAGTTGTTTATTTTCAACGAAACAAACAACTGAAAAAAAAAACTTGGAAACAGAAACGCACATTCATCCTCATTTTTAGTTTCAAAGGCCTCGAAAGGATTACAGGATTTTAGGAAGGGGAAGGGGGGCGTTCGAGTGCCTCCTTACGCCACTCATTCTCAATTCCATCCTCTGCCACTGATTTGCGACCAGAACGTGGAGGTGTACCGTAGATTATCTTTTTCGGCGAGTGAATATTTGTTAAGCTTGTGAGGAGAACTCTTGCTTGAAGGCTTGAAGAACTTCTGGAATTTCCATCGAATAATGGTCGGACTCGAATGAAAACGATGAATCGTGCAACTTTTATTGGCCTGACAATCGATTCACCGGGTGGCTGGCCGCGGACCGATTCGACTATATCTCTTCGCTCTTCTATGTATATACGACCTCACCTCGCGCTATCCTTTTGTAAAGGCAATGCTTTGCAAATAAAGGTCATTGTGCGTGCTGAAAAAAAAAACTTTTATTCTTTCACAAAGCAACATCTTAGGCAAAATGCGAGGACGCAAAACGAAAGCGAATTCGTCTCATGCGAACCGATCACTCCGCAGTTTGGCCATGCAAAACCTCACACATCCGAATGCGCATTAAGTGGTTCGTCTCGCGAAAACCCTGCATATACAGGTATTGTCCATGAGTGCAGAGCCAAAATCGACTCTGGCCCTCGGTTCGCCGCCTGTCTCCCAGCGAGGGCCCTCACGTCGTCCCAGCAACGGCGAGATTGCGTAGTACTCGGGAAGTCGATCCGTTCGCTGCTCGCAATGCGCATGCGCGTCGAATCGTGAGGCTCCGCTCGAGGAGCAGATTAAGCGATGAACAGGTCATTTTCCCCCATTCTTATTCTCCTCACCCGCATCCCAATTTGCACCACTCACGAAAAATAGGGATGGCAATCGTCTAAATGGAAAAGGCCGCCTTATGCCTGTAGTTCTGCCGCCGATCGACGCCTATTCGGCCCAAGAGGCGGGTTAACTGCTGGCATGGGCGATCAGCTGCTTTCGTATTTTTTTTTCCAAATAACTTTTTTAAAATTTCGTTTACTCGTGTTTTCTCTAGGGTCGGGGCCGAAGAATGAGGGAAGTAACCTCAGCCTACATTTGGGAATCACGAATCACTCCGCTTTGAAAACGGTTTCAGTTGCTCACTCCCCCAGCCCAAAATTGAAGGCTGAGGACAGCCTGAAAATCAAGGAAATTGATTTATCGCGAAAGAAAAAGCTCAACATAGGGTGGGGGGGGGGGGAAAGCAAGCGATGTACGTGGAGGAATCTAAAGTACAAAAAAATGAGTTTTGGATTGATAGGGAATTCAGCGCATGAATTCCCACGTAACTGAAAACCAATCGCGCGAAACGTTGTATCTCATGGCACTGGTTTCTCTTCGCATGGGAATCAGTGCCACGCGCCTCAACGACAGGATGTTCCACTATCGATTCAACTTAATATTCTGTTGAATCAGATGAAACACGAGATCATGAATGAACGAGACTGATTGGCAGGACCGCCCTTTGTGGCCTTGCGCCCTTTGTGGCCTTGCGCCCTTTGTGGTCTTGCGCCCTTTGTGGCCTTGCGCCCTTTGTGGCCTTGCGCTCTCTGTGGTCTTGCGCCCCTGCGTTCCCTCGGGGCGCACGAATTCCCAGTCCAAAGAGGAAAAAATGGATAAATATTTAAAGGAAAGAAAGGCCGAAACCCCTTCTGGCATCAGATGGGAGTGCAAATGGAGTGAAGAGAGTGAGAAAACAGACCAAAGGTCAACTCTACTGAAGCAAAGGAGGGACTTGCCTCGAAAAGATTCCTCATCTCCCTAGTCGCGTGGTACGAATTTCTTTTCGAAATCAACTCTAGCTTTATTTTCTAGCCTGAAAGTTAGGGGAAGTGGGAAGATCTCGCTGTTTTTCTAATTTTTACATTTGTTAAAATCCCGGGTTGTCGGGTGTCAGCTCCACCGACAAATAAGGGGTGATTGCGTCAATCACGCGAATCGCGTTGGGTCTGTGTGTCTAGGGATTGCCGCTTCCGGCAGGTGTCGCGCTGATCCAATGTCGTCCTGGCCGACTCGGGTTGCGTGCATGCTTCATGCCGACCTGATTGGATGCATTCTACGTCGTCTTTCTTCATCATAACAGCCATTAAAGGTTGTGGCGTAAGTGGCATGCTCGGGTCATTCCGGCGGGGATCTGCGTAAACCATCAGAAGGGAATCTGAGGCAATAATGATAAATCAACATAACATTTACTCAGCTTGCAAATCGATGGAAAGTGCCTGGAAACATTTTTTTTTCATTTAGGAGAAAATGGTTTTTAGGATGCAAAAAATTAAGCAAGCAGAAGAAATTAAAGTTGCCGCGGAACTGACAAACTCGCGTCGGAAGTCCTTAATTAATTGCGAATCCGAAGATTCTCAGGATTCGCATATTCCTGATGCAAAACGCAGATTCAAAGCTTTAATTTTTCTCCAGGTTGCGCTCTAGAAGGGGACTTGAAATGGGAATGAAACATTGCAGCCTGGGGAACGAACGAGAAGCCCCATTTACTTTGTTTATTTTGTGCCATCTCTTGGGATTTTATTTTGAGAGTTTGGGTCTCGATCATGCAAATATTTTTTAGTTGAAGGTTGACCCACTTAGGAATTGAGAACGGACCTCTTGCCCCCACCCCCCCCCCCCCCCCCCCCCCCCCCCCCGATTTTACTTTGGAGTGGGGGGCACTTGCGTCTCATGATGGGAGGGAAAAAAGTGGCCATTGTTAGCAATCGACCTTTTCCTTTGAAGGCCACGAGGAAAGATCCCTTGGCTCCAGGTGCATTTTTTTTCATTTATTCATTCCTGCGTGGAAGAATGAATGCATTATTGACGACACGTGTCAAGATTGATGAGTGAATCTTGTTTTCTCAGCTGTTATTGCAGAGCGGCGGGAAACAATGTCAAGCAGCCGGTTTGTGGGTTAATAGCGCATTATTCTAGTAATTTCTCTTTTATCTTTCGTCGGTCCGGGAAATTCCCATGGCTCATGAGGATAGCCATGGCACGAGGCAATCCAGGTCCAAGGGCGAGTAATCGCTGCGATTAATTAAGGATCTCCACGCAATCGACTTCAGCACGACAACCTGCGATCATTCTTTGTCTGTCTGGATCGACTTTTCTAGATCCATGAACTGGGCGTGGGAAATATTGAACTTTTCATGGAGCACGTTTTCATGTGCCGAGCTCTTCATGAAAATTTCAAGATCCGGGTCCCGTCCCCCTGATCACCCCCAAGCACGAAACTCGGTAATACACGAGACCACAGGGTATTCCTGGGCATTCACACTGAGGGGACCCGCAATCAGCATTAATCAAGCAGCCCACCCCCTGACAGCAGAATGCACTGTGACAAATCCGCGGTCGACTCCGTGCATGACCGTCGGCAAGTTCCACAAGTGCTGCCATGTGTCGACCTGTCGGCTCCGTTCTGGCAATCGGAAACGGGTTAGCCGCACTATAACTCCTGGCTGATGTGGTTGATGTGATAAATAAAAGATATGGACGAGGGAACGCAAAAACGAGACTTTCTTGACTTCAAGTGACGGACAACAGTTGAATAAGGTGAATATTTACTCCTCTGATAACACCCTTCAAACAGCAGCATACCAAAAAAATCCTACATACGAGAGTGAAAATCAGGACTAGAGCAAGCCACATTCGTCCTTCTGCCTTGTTTTCGTGCCAGCCATGCAAGTGAGGTAGGAGCACTATTTTCAATCCACTCCATCAAAATGACCCGTCCTGATACAATCAGCCGATCGATCGATCACGCTGCCATAAAAAATACACTCTCTAGAGATTGTCTCAGCATTCATGTAGATCGCGTCTCTGGGCGCTATCACAGAGAATTCATGAGATCGCATGAGTCCATCACGAGAAGAGGATGTTCGCCACGAATGACATGAGGAGGAGGAGGATCCGAAGCCAGGTCATCAAGGTCACCGACGAGCTCCGGTTCCCGCCTGGTGACGCCCCAGCAGCCGCAATCAAAAAAAAAATTTAAATAATTTAATTTAAATTAATAAATATTAATAATAAATTTAAACGAAATAATATATACATATTAATAATAAATTAAAGAATAAATAAATAAATAAAGTTATTAAATATATGAAAACAAAATTAATTAATATCAATCGCATACAGATGTAATTAACCTCATCTCGACGTACCTAGCGAGGAAAGCACGGTGATATCATTGGGCGAAGGTTCGCTGATTGGTTTCAACTCGTGACTCTCCCAGTAGAGAGTGGCGACGGTGGCTGTGCACCTCATGCGAAGGATTCGATCCGGCGGGGGGAAATGGTGAGGCTTCACCCGGAAATCCAGACCAAGTACTGCCTCTTCTAGGTCGTTATGCACCGGGAATGGGGGGTACTCCCGCAGGTGCTTCGGATCGGCCTGTCACAAAGACCACAGTGAAAATCACCAGCAAATCCCAGACTTTCGCTTGAAAAGTCGCCAGCTGCATGAAAGGCAACCAAGAAGGAGAAAAAAAAAATCGTGTAGAGCCGGCGAGAAATCAATGGTCTGACGCGAAAATCCGATATACTCGACTGCCTTCTGATCTGGACCAGCTGAGCTTCCGTCTCGAGAGCTTTTGTCTCATAGCTCAAGTCGAACCATACGAATCTTCTTTGAAACTTTTTTTTTTTTTTGGACAGTGTATTTCGAGGCTCTCCTTATTTCGAAGACGGTTTGTAGACTGCCAATAGCAATCAAATGCAAAAATGAAATCCAATATTCACCCGATAACTTCTATCTCATGCGAACTTGTTCATAGAATTTAATTAAATCTCAAAAGTTCTCAAGTCTCAGGTGAAACTTATAATTGGTAAACTTGCTGATTTTCATACGTTATAACGCCCACTTATTCTCACGCACGATTTACTGCAACAACAAAACAACAGCGCGATCAGATCTCGGAGTCAATTGCGGAAGCTTATGGAGCATAGCATATGTCATATGGATCGGGAGGGAACAGGAAATACTCCATATTCCATATCCCATATTCCAGAGGGGAAACAGGGGGGGGGATGGATCGACTAAGTCAATATTGGGCTCGTTGGTCAATCGTTAGCCAAAAGTCGACTGGGGACGGAGGGCGCATTATCTGCACTTCTCCGGAGCACTTTCGCTCTTTTCGCTTCCGAATTGCAAAGAAAAAGGGGAAATTCTGAGGAATTCTGAGCTTCGATCGATGGAAATCCCTCTGTGCAGAGTGACGCATCTAAAAGTTGAGTACGGTTGGGGTAACGCATTTTCATGATCTTCCCATCTATAGCATCTCTACAAATCTTCGTCTATGGAGTCACTGAAACAAGTAACGCTCCGAAAATTATCATCTGAAACGATACCATCTACTCTCCCAGGGGATCATAAATAGTGTCATCGTGCATACATTTCCAGCTTGACCATATATCACCCAGTGTGTATATCAACGGAAGGTGACTCAGAAGCAGCCAAAAGACATGTCGCAACATGGCCAATTAGAGAGTGGCGCTATTGGGAGACAATGGAAGGATCTTGATGAGACACGCGGCCCTGGGATCGGAGCTCCAATCAAAGTCTCGAGGAGGAAAAGAAGGCAAGGAGTGAAATGAAAAGAAAGAGGCGTCCGATGCAAGAGTGAGCGAAAGGGTTGGTAGGAGCTCTGGGCCTCTTTTACTTATTTCTTTTTTTTTTAGGACCTAGTTGCCTGGGATTTGAAAGGTCTTTCTTTGGAAATCCTGCTCAATTAAAGGCACCGAAGAAGCTGTACGCTCCCCGATCCTCATCTTGACCTTTACCTTGCTGAAGGCAAACCTGCTTGCCTTCGGTTATAAGGGTCTCCGTCACTGCAAGCAAATCCTTTTCCTATGGGACTACGTCATCCGTGACGTCACTGCCGACATTGGCCACGTGCGTGGCTAATGTTTACTATCATGATCCGAATCCAGACTCAATATTTGGGCATAGTTTGCGGTTGTATACGCTCGAGTCGCGCTTGATTGAAATTGTGTCAAACCTTTTTAGCCATAAACCTTTAACCTTTTGACGAGAAAGGTTATAGTGCCACTGCCAGACGACATACAGGTGTATAATTTCAAGCAGCCTTCGCTAATACGAATTTCTTATTGGAATGGTAATCTGGGTACACTGACATGGAAAAGCTTTCCAGACTTTCTTGATTTTTTTTTAATTAGCCGAGAATCACAGCATCATGGTAGCCTTCCACCGCCGTCAGCGGATGAATCTTCTGCAATCATACTTCATTATGGCAATCTCGGACACTTGTTTCTTTTTTTTCCTTCCCCATAGGAACGTGATTTAAAAATATGGCACTTAAGTACGGCACTGGGGGACTGGTGCGACGCTTCATGCGGAATGGCAGCTATCAAAATGAAAACTCCATTGTAGAAGTCTCCTGATATATTGTCTACCATTCAAAAAAAAAAAAAATAGCCCCGGAGAAGCAGCGGCCGGGACGGACCCTTTCCATCTTCCTTTCATCGCCCTGTCGAGATTCCTGCGAGATTTCTTATGCATTCTCTACTGAATCAGAGAAGACAAAGAGAGCTTTCCAACTATATAGTCGCTATGATCGCGGCACAGAATTTCAAGCAAGGAAAATTAAGGGCTATATCCATTAACCCTTTGCACTCTGATTTAAATGGCGTTCTGCCTCAGCAGCTCAACTTTATTTCCGCCAATTTAAACCGTTCTATATTTGTAACACTCGAAGTAACTTTCTCTGCACAGGATGAAAGCTTACTCACATGATAAACGTACTCCAAAGATAGTCTATTTGTCGGAGGAGCCCCGACAGACGAGTGCAAAGGGTTAAATAAGCTCAGGTGACGGCTGTTTTTTTCATGCGCTTTCTATACGCCAGAAAATCGGTTGAAAGACTAATAGACTAGAGCAAGAATCTGTTTTCCAGGTTTCCCCTTTCTTCGGGCCTCGCGTCATTCACAATACCTAAGCCTTCAGCCGGCCTGGATGGAGGATGCCCAGCTTCAATGCATCCTGGATATGGTCGTTCCGCACGGAACAAGCCTATCAGACGACATAACAGACTCCCTCCCTTCTCGTGAGAAGGGAGGGAGAGCGGGGTGGGAGGGCAGGGTTGCCATGTTCCGCGACACAGATTATTTCCGGATGTCATAATGTCTGTCATGGTTCAATTTTTTCCTCTCTGTTCCGGCCTTCGAGCGATTTTCTGCCGCGCGGGTCTTCTTCCAAGTGTTTGGTATCAAGCGCGAAGCGAGGAGCAGACTCGAACTAGAACGAACTCTCGGGATAGTGAGGATCAAGAAGGAACCAGGATACCTTAAGAGGATCGTGTTTCAGGAAATCAATGATAATGAAATGAATGCTCAATGCGGTCCTGATTCAATTTCAATATATTAAGGAATAAGATCCTGAAAACGTGAGACAGATGGAAGAGAAGATGTTGCCTGCGAATCGGATGATCTCCACTTGCATGATTGAGAACTATCGATTGCCTGTCATTATCAATGCTGATGTCGCATTTCATGTCCGTTTTCAAACGAATACACAGTCTTTCCATCCTAAGTATGCGATCTTTTGTATGTGACCGTCACACATGATGTGACAGCCATGCCAATTGGTGTTTCGGCAATTTTCGCGCCATTAACACCATATTTCCCATAATTTTGATGAATGGTGCAAGTTTGTCATAATCTATCATAATTTATGGGGCAATCACAACCCTTGGCAACCCTGACATCAAATGAAAGCACGTGAAGGAGACGAAAGATCCAGACGGCTCCGGAGAGCCTGCCAGCGCCAGCGAGCGACGGGGATGGGGGAGGGAGGGGGAGGGAGGGGAGAGGCGAGGGGGGGAGGGAGGGGAGAGGCGAGGGGTGAGGTGGCGGCGGGGGTCGAGAGAATGTCACAGCGACCTTCATCGAAAGCATACTGGTGAATTATTTATGCATATTGACGTTACGGATACATTGCATTTGAAGAGAACCAAGGTTAGCAGAGATTTTTTTTTTGTTATGAGCTGATCCCGATCTACCTCAGTGTAGAAGTGAAATTTGCGGATATGTGACTTGTTGAGTAACGAAGACTAGATGCAACAAATTTCGTTCCTACAAACACACTCAGTTTAACAAATGGGTTTACCTTCAAACCGTTTAAGGTGATATTTATTTTCTGAGAATTTGTTTGAAAAAAAAAAACTAACTAACCTGTTCGTCATTGATGTACCACATGAGAGAAGCAGCTGGCTTGGAAGGTCCAGAGGTGCAGTTGAGATGCACCCGGTCGTTGAGGCGGTAATGATCCCGCCCGCCCTTGATCTGAGGCCGCTGATCGGGCACCACTGCGAAGCATGACAACAAAATTATGAGTGTTCGGGTGTAAACAGATGGAGAGACGTCAGGGACGAGAGAGAGGCTCATTTGCATGCATATATTAGGATCAGTTCCTCTGGGGATGTATGTTAAAGAGGATGCGTGAGGACATTGCGTCTCGGGCCATTGCTCAGGAAGGCACGAAGATTAAGTTGAAGAGGCGCCCTTTACTTCCAAATGGGGCATTTATCCTTAGCCGCAGAGAATGTCCTTTGTCCTTGCATCTTGACACCATCATGGTCCTCTTACGCGAATCTCCCTTTTTCTTTCCTCTCATCTCCTATCCCGTTCTATCTTTTTATCCCTTCCCAGATCTCACGAATGTCCTCTCATCAGCTCCATTTCCGCCCAAAATACGCCGCAACCGCTCCCCCTCCCACCCCCCTCCCCATCCCCACATCCCCCCCCCTCCCCCCCGTCGACAACCCAGGCCGAATGATTTCGATTGATGCAGTGGTCTGACGTACCGCTCAATCTCGCAAAGTCCGCATCCCCAAGCAGAAAAACCGTTTCAAAAAGGACCACCCACATCTGCCCACCGAAGGAAAATAATTGTCCACTCTTCTATTTTTCCCGCTCCATATCTGCAAAGCATTGCGAATGTGCCAGGATTTTTCCCCTTCTCTCAACGGCCGAATAAATCCCGGCTGGCTGCATTTCTCTTCCCTTCCGGCCGGAAGAACGCTTTCAGACTCGCCAGCAGAGATGCCATATTTTTTTATGGACTTCCATCCGTGTTATTTCCCTCCATCCTGATCCCTTTTTTCCTGCATTATTTTCACTCCTTTAGCCCCCCTCGATTTGCAGGGGCGTCGCCGTGATTGGAGACCGGACGATTTTTTTTTGCGCATACATGGAATCCAATAGCCTTTATTTTCATTCCTGCGAAACTTGATGCCTCTCCTTTGCTTTGCAGTCACTTAACGATTTTTTTTATTCATCTAACCCCTCCCTTTATATAGCTGATATCTGACGACTTGCCTCCCTCCTCTTCCGTTACTCCCCTGCTATCTGTAACAAGAATGCGTTTGAGAAAACTGCACCACCTTTAGATCTCCTTGTTCCCCAGAAACCGCCAGAAGAATACATGACACATCCAAAGGCAGCTTTAAAGGGGGGAAAAAGCCCTCGAGAAGAAAGATGGGTGGAGGGGCATTGAAACGTCACACATCGAGAATCCTCTCAATAGATCACGACGACTCGGAAGGAGAGGAAATCGACTCCCCCCATCCATTACAATCCGTAAATGAATGCAAAAAAAAAAAAACTCACCCACGACGAGCATGTCCCCCGAGAAGGACACGGTGTCGAACGACGGTGCCTCCATGGACACCTCGCACTTGTAGTTGCCGGATGTGGACAGGTTCACCGATTTCAGCACCACGGCCCGGTCGTTCGACGCTTGTAACTGGAGGGGAAGAAACGCGACGGGAAATTACCGGGGGAAAAGCTGAAAAAGCAGGTAATAACTAGAACCCGCAACGAAATGAAACTCCGTGCCGAGAACCCAGTCATCGTGCTTGGAAAACCAAAGCTTTGCAGGAAGGAAGCCCAGGATATCAGTAATGCAAAAGTTTATAATTGGCGTGGAAAACCCAGCGAATAATATATCTCAATCGTTCGAGGGCGGGGACGGGATTCACCCGTCACGAAACGGTCCCGGCCCCGCAGGTGTCGAATCCCGTCCCCGCGTTATCAACTGGGGACAGGTGAGTCCTTTCGTGATACTTTCGTGCTCACCCGATCGCCCTGATAACAGCTAAATAAATCCCTCGCCCATCTAATTCCCTCGTATGCATACATGAGAGATGGGGGAAAAGTTCCTTCCCTTATTGACTCATGCATTAGCTCTAATTAGTGGTGGAATATCGATTAACGAACCGACCGTGCTGCTCGTTTCAGTCGATCTCGTGTACGGAGATAGAAGATCGGGTCCTATAAATCAAGGCGCATGGGGGTCTTGTCTTGATATAAAGAGGTCTTGCATGTGAGCCGAGCATAAAGGCGAGATTCGATCGAGATACTGGACGTATGCAAGGCGCCTCTTCCCAGTGGTTTTTCCCACCTCGACCTCGGCGCTTGGGGATCGATGAATGATGAACCCGATTTTCCCTTCCCCCCCATTTCCCATTTCCTGCATCGGGTTGGCTTAGGACGGTATTTTGCGAGGGGGAATCCACTCCTTCGCGGTTATGGTTATGGCTATGGGATTTTGTTTCGTCGGCTTCCCGCTCCGCTCGTCCGATCGAGCCGTGAAAGAAATATGAAGCCGGGACAATGGACTCGTGTGGAACCATTCTAGACCCACGTACATTTCCAAGCCTTTATGTACTTTTCCCCCTCAAACTGGACCGCATCGATTCCTAAGTAAATCCCTCTCGGCCCCCAATCCCACGCCCACCCCCGCACTCACCCCCCAACTCACACGCACACACATTCACGCGTGATCCAACACGTCCACGCGAGCACCATCAAAACTTACGTCCACTTTGATCCCAGGCTGATAAAAGACCTGCGACGGTGGATTCGACCACGGCTGATACCGGTAGAACTCCCCCTCGTCCTTGTACCATTTGACCGAGTAGATCCTCGCCTCCTTCCGCGGCTTGTAGTCGCAGTGGAGGGTGGCCGGGTCCCCCGCTGCCGTGTGCGTCGGGATGCGGGCGCTCACCTCCAAGCTCCTCCCTGCACAGATCATTTCATACATTTTTTAGCATATTTATTACTTATTTTTGTGCCCTACTTTTCGTTTCGATCATGTCACCCTGCAGCATCTCCCACTTCTCGGATGCCTCTCCCTCCAGAACTCCAGAGATAATAATCACATTACACCGGGTATGAGAAAATGGGGAAGCGCCAAGCCTCGGAGAGGGATAAAGCCCCCTCCGCACATCCCGTAAAAGTCAACACTGCAGGGCCAGCTTATAGAATGGGAATCGATGGGACAGCAACGATCCTATTCTCTTCGCGCCGTGCAGAAGAAAACCCGCCCGCCTCGTGCTCCACACAGATTGCATAACGATATTCCGAGCACAGATTGGTTCTACTATGTGAACACGAGATACGTAATGCAATAATGAACCTAGGATATCTAATTTGCCCCTCCTGGCCCCCTCATACCACATGGTATCCCCAAATCCACTCCCCACGGTCAATTGCCATCTACTATTCTATTTCGGGAGCGATACAGGTATTTATCGCTGCCATGGGCAGCATCCCAATTGCTAGTCTCCCTCATTAAATAGTACTTGCCTCTTGTATTCTCGTCTGCCGTCTGGGAAAGGGAGAGCTTCCAGCGGAATATCGCATGATCCGAGGGAAAAGAATAGAATCATCGAGGGATCTCATCGATTCCACATCATTGAAGCTTTTGTCTTCAGCTGGTAAACAGGCTCATCAGCCTCGATATCAACTTCCGCCCTGTCGACAGGCGAAGTAGGTCTGAAACGATGGGCAGGAAAAACCTGCATAGATCCACGGGACTGGCTTCTAAAATAGACGCTTCGGAAATAGTCATTCCGTGTCTATTATCGGAGTGGAACGAAGCGAAGTTCATAAATGGGTGGGGAAAAAATGACAAGGTTCACGTGCATACTGTGATCGGTGGGACGGAATCGTTCAATCTTAGGTTAATTTTGGTTCCGAAACCGTGCCTTGTGTGATATGCGGCATGAACGACAGAAAAAGATGAAAGTGGACAGACAGAAATAGTCTGTATGAATATTTGACAGAATCGGATCGTCATCAAACCGGGTGTACTGTGTCGCAGAAGAAAAGGGAAATAGTACTGGAGGAACTGCAGCGGGAACCGAATAATGAGGGATCCTGGTCCTCTTCGTGCTCGTAGACCTCGTCGTGCTCCTGTTCTTTTTCGTGCTCCTGGTCCTTTTCCTGCTCCTGAGACGCCCAGCACGAACGGCCTCGAAACGTCGGTGAGCAACGGACCAGTGCATAAGATTCCATCTTGCCTTTATGCATTGAAATGCACTCACTACCATGATTTGTGGACAACGAAGCCCTGGCAATCGTTATAGTCGATGATATGAACGAGAATGTGTCTCTCGGACGTCCCCCTCCCCCTGCGAAGCGTATCGACAGACATGCAACGTTGCACACCTGCTCCACCTGTCTTCTTCCGTGTAGTGCTATGCGATGTTAGAAGGTCCTAAGTCACATAAATTAATCTAATCGCATTCATATATCATATCATATTTGATTGCAGCGAGAGTGGCTTGACGTTCGGGGAAAACGGTATCAGGGCGCGTAATGACTGCGGGACTTTTCCTCGTCGAAGCCCGTATTCGCTGCTATTACAGTCGATTGAGCGGACCAGGCTGAACATGGGAAGGATTTGTCATATTCTCTCGGGATTTGGGGGGAAACCTCAGAAATGTCATTGCAAGAAGAAGAATCTTTCAGGGGCTTCTAGGCTCAGGTTAATGGTATTTCCGGGGATTATCTCAGAATGAAGGATGGATACAGATTGGTTCGGTCAGTCCCAGACGACGCAGCGCCGACATTTTATTTCGTCTCTGCACGATCGATTTTATCGCAGCGGTTGAGCTCGAGTTCTTCCCGTCCTTTAGGATCCGGCATTCTGCACCTATTATGTCATAGTCGAGGCACTGTGCCAGAAGCGGAAACCCGATCGCGGGTAAACAAGCACAAAGTAACCGTTGTTCCTACCGAGGGGGAAAAGGCTCCCCGTTCGCGTGATCCCATCGACGAGGCACGTGTGTTCTCCGGGGTCTCTTTATTGACCTCATCTACCCTCCGCATATTGTTTCCGAGGGGTGTCTCAGGTGAATAATTCACTTATGCTCACCCCGGCGCGATGAATCACTCGCTCATCGCAGCCCCGGCCGAAGCAGCATGAAGCCCCTCGCATGTGCATCATCCTCGTGCCATGCGGACCATCCTCCCGCCATGTGCACCATCTTCATGCAATGTTTCAAACATGATCCGATTCTAAACGTAAGAGATCCACCCTTGATTACGGTATGCCAGTCATACGTTCCACCGTAATGATAGGCTGGGAGGGATATATAGACGAATCCATTCCTCCTGCATCGATTCCTGAATGCATTTCTGATGCACCATATTTCCCTCGTAACAATCCACATCGACTGAATCCTCTTGCCTGACGGCCTCCCATCTCTCTCGACGACGACTTCAACGACCGGAAACCGAGCACCCCAACATTAAATTACTTCCACCTTCCCCATTCAAAAAACCATTCAACCTCAATAGATCCCACCGATGAATCACGAACACCGCGAATAATTTCCCCCCCGTGCCTGATCGCGCAACGACGGCCCCGCGAAGCCCCCCGTTCCCCCCCAAGCGAATCGCATCATCCCTCATCCGCGGAGGCATGCACGGAGGTGGCGTGGCATGTCCAGTGCCACCGGGGTAACTGATGGGACTGGCCTCAAACTAGCTGCAACTCGGAGGCATCACGCGAGGAAAGCATAGGGTAGATGAAATATTATGCATGCATTTCCTCCCAGGGACACAGAGGCACACGCGAGACCCATTCCGTATTGACCACCGATCGGGCCCCGCACTCGGGACCCACGGCTTCCCCGAGATCCCCCAACGACACCGTCCGACCCGGCCGACGAGACTCACCGACAGGCAGCATGGCAGCGACGAAAACCCAGGCGAACCAGACCCAAGCGACCCCTCCTCCCATGACGGATCCGACGGAAACCCCTCGAGCACTCACACCCGTCAACGGCTCGAGACCCATGAGGCGCGAGAGGCACACGCCGAATGCACCCCCTGACTCATGTCGCAGCCCGATCTGGAACAAAAGAGGCAGAGCCCGGTATGCTTCATGAGGGACAGGAAGCAGCCCACATCCACGCTTACTACCATGCCCGTCCAGGAAGGGAGTAATTTGTTCAACTAGGACCGACCCCCGAGCGCTTTTATCGTGTGCGTGTTTGCAGCTCCGTAAAAAGTCCCCCCAGCAGGTTATCCGGACCGATCTAAATGATTCGTAATTAGCCACCATCTCGCCTCCTTTCAAATGCCAATAAATTATGTCATAATGCGCGGGCCCCGCCTAGATTGACGACGGTTGACATGGGAAAGAAACCATTCGATTCGAAACGGCTGTTAACCAGAAACGTTGAATTACCCGACATGCCCCCCCCCCCCCCCCCCATGTCTATGGGGTAAAACGAGGGGAAAAAATCCACACGAGGGGGGCCTTTTGCGGGATATCTAATCCAATTCAAAGGGCGACCTCACAATCCCTGGGAGGATCCAGCCCCATTCCCTCTGATGGACCCTTTACGACGGATCAGCTGGCTCCTGTACTCAACCTGATAGGGGGTCAGCCATCATAACAGAGACGTCATCGAAGATGAACAAAGGCTTGTTGATCCTGTCTCCGAAAGCAGGGAGTGCTCTGAATCCCCGATGAACCCCTATGGACAATACCGGGTAAGAAAACACTCGACCCCGGTGCCATTCGACAACGAAGGAGCCATCCAACGACGGAACACAAGCGCGAAGAACGAGCCAGGCACCTGGCAAGGCCCCCGCCTCGTTGCCCCTTGCCCCCTCCTCCTTAAGCCCTCCAAGATTTACAGTACGACCATCTTAATGCTCGTGAGTGGAGATGGAGGATGTGAGTCAGCGAGGAGAATACTCGCCCCTGGAGACACATCCATGGGTCTTGGCGGGAGGAACCCTTGAGTATTCATGCTCTCGTTCCACCTTACTCTGTCACATTCTCTTTTTCTTCTCATCAATCCTGCCTTTTCTCTTTCTCGGTCTGGTGTCTTTGTGTTCCCTCATTTTCATATATCCCGGACTCGCGACAAAATTTCTCTCCTTCATTTTCGTTCTCCCGGGTCCTCGCTCGTTATATGCATTCTAATTCCATTTTGCATGCGCGTCAGGCAACGATCACGGCGAATCCCCTCAACTGTTGGAATGAGCAGCTACGTTTCTCCGATGAAGAGGTTTTACGTGCCCCCATTCAAGTGATGGCGTTATTTTAGACATACAAACACTGCAGAACAAGCAAGCAAAACTGCAAGAAAAGGATCCGCAAGCATTCGTCTTCTCGTTACATGGCACCTAGGGGTTAAGGGAGGTTATTACCCAATTGCTCATGGTTACCCAGGCATTCCCATTCATGCACCTCAGTACTACCAACCCCGAAGCTGAGTGAAAACAACCTTTAGTCCAACCTTCCATCGGTTGACTCTCGTAAGATTCGAATATTCCAACTAAAATAGTACTTACTATCAGAAGTACTTACTAAGCAAAGCTCTGACTAAATTGTACTTGTGCATTTTAAAATGAAAAACTGACTTACCTTTGACGTTATACTAATAAATGATTCCCGGTCTCGCAACCAGTCAGAAACAACAAAAGAGCACGAGTGGTGATTATTTTCTCATTTTATACTCTCAAAATAAGAACATATCAGTAGAACAGCTTTTCCGAGAAGAAACACGTGTCAGAACTGTAAACGGTGCCCTTTTTTGAAGCTTTGTTCTTCATTATAATTTTCGCAGTCGTTTTTGGAAGGCCTAAGTCCCGTGCTACGTCCACTTGTTTTGCCCCGTTCTCCACCCTCGTGATGGTTGCCAACTTTTCATCGAGTGAAAGGGCTTCATTGGTCCCAGCACCGGGTAAAAGGGGTTTCGAGCAAGGTTTCGGCTGTACCGGTTTTGCCTTACGGGCGCAGTAAACCTTCAACCTGCACAACTCCGTCAAAGATCGTGTTAAGCTAAACCTAGTGATTACGGCAGCAGTTGCTTTCCGGCAAGATATTCGCAACCAAAACCTCGTTACAATCAGCAGATACTCGTTTAATCGCAACCGGCACGTGCGCGACTACATTACCCGTTCACTCAAACGTTCTGACTGAAATCTCCACTTAAACGGCAACTTCACTGGGCCAAATCCCGGTCTCCAATGAAATAACTAAACAAACATCAACAATGCCACTTGGGCATTGTCAGCAGAGGCGCTTCTGGCGGGCTCCTTTGTCTTGCTCGGTAATCTCACCGAATATCAGATGCAGGCGCCACAACCGGGAAGGCAGGCAGGATGTGCCTGACGCTGAGAATAATGTACATATGCTGTTATTTATTACTCGAAGTACTTACTAACGGGGCCAAATTTGAACGGTGAAACGTCTCAAGTTGTATGTATTAACCGAAGGTCCATACAAAGCGAATACGAACAAACCGGAACTGAAAGCCGTTTAAGTAATGAAGGAAAAGCCGGCTTACAAACTAAACTTTTTTCGCACTAAAGAAACGGTAAGCGACTACGTACTAACGAGAGTCGACCTGTATCAAGCTTGGGAAGCAATTCACGCAAACTAAACACTTATTTCTGAGGAAGGTTGGTCAACTAAACTCAACGCCAAGAAAATAATTCAACTCACAAGCTGCTTTACATAAATCCAACACAGTGCGTCAATTAGATTTCATTGCTGCTGAGACGTTCGGTTCCCAGCAGCAATCTCATGCGATGGTCAAATTATATTTCCCTTTCATCGGCTCGCTGGAGGAAATGCGAACCGTTTAAAATTGGTTCCAATAGTAGTTTTAAGCTACCCTTAATATAATGGGGCAACAGAAATTCAATTTTGAAGCAACTGTATACGTAGTTGAAGTCTCGATTGAACTCCAAAATAGTCAGATATTATTCAGGACTGACTATCCTGACAATGACAACTTCGCACGAACCCACTTTTCGGGACCTTGGACCCGTGTCACACGGTGAACTTCCCTTGGAGAGGATTTTCAAACAATTTAAATTTTGCTTCTCCCTCTCGATCTGACGGTGCGCGATAACATTTTCCCCTGCCTCTCACACAAAACCCTCAATGTGAAATTTCCCAGCTTCGCTCCCGAGTATCATGAACATCACTCATCAGCCTCCGTTCCCGGCACAGAAAAGTTGTAAGCGAACATCCGGCAACCCTGATTCGACGCACATGCGCATACAAGCAACAACGCTTGCCCCTGAGTGACGGTTCTCACTTGGAAGTTTTACGATTGCGACAGGACCCGAGATAGTGAAAATTTGTAATCAAAACTTTACCAGGGAAATGAATCTGAATCAGTTGTCCGACTAGGTCAGGCTAGGTAATGAGGCTAGGCACATAAGATTCGGTTATGATAAGTTATGCTGCGTTATGTATATCAGGATATTTTTAGTTTAAACTGATTTTATTAATTATATCTCCCAAATGTTAAACCACAGAGTTCGTGGACGCATCGGTAATCGCGGTACTTTTTTTTTCCATGAATCGCATTGATTTGCTAATGCATCGTGGAATTAATAGAGAGAGGAAAGAGAAAGAGTTTCTAAATGGCAATTAAGTCTCTGAATTACGCAGTCTCATTTGACTTTATTATGCCTTCAACTTCAATTAATTTATTCGATTTCCAAAATGGCATCGGGCAGATTTACGAGAAAATAGGCACTATAGTCCATCATCAATATGTAAAAATACTGTTTACATATAAATTATTATTCCTTTCGAACCGAAGCAACATGTTAAGCAGACTCGCACTAACAGCACTATTTTCCTTCTTCCAATTCTTGAAATTTAAGTCTTTCCTTGGCGCCTCGGGAAAAACGCAGAAATGTCATAACGCAGCTATCTCGCCTTTGACTTGCGGTGATGACTTTCAACCTAAAATTGAGCTGAGATTGTCTAAGGTAAAAAAAAAAAAAATTATTGACACAACATCGTTCGTCCTTGTATTATAATTTGGTGCAGCATAATAATAATAAAAATCGGTGATTGTTAATGACTGACTGAACCAAACGGTAACAATTAATTAAAGAATTCAATGCTGAAAATACATTAAAAATTCAATATTTCTTGGAAGGAATCCCAAGATTTCAGCTCCCTCGAGGGTTCTTCCCGCTATAAATCCAATCATTCTAACTGTAAAGTTCATCCGAATATCTTCACCCCTTTTTTCCTCGACGGAAGGAAATGAATGAACTTCTTCGAACAGGGAAATACAAATACGAGTAGCCAGAGAAATACAAATAAATTAATTCAACTATGTCCGTTGACTACCGCACCCGCAGCAAATCCCATCGCAAAAATCAGGAAATGAAAAATGTTACGTAATGTACCCAGCCGATATCACTCAGTCCCTTTTATTATCTCCCATCTGGGACGAAAGCTCGACAAAGGCGGGAAATCCTGCTAATAAATTAGCACGTTCCCAGAAAAACTGGCAATTTGTTGTCGCTGAATAAAGCAGAAACAGAGAGATCATCAGAAGAATCCCGAAAAATGCACTTTTCATTCCTCCTAAGAGGATTCACCAGGATGCAGCCTGTACTAATGAAATTGGATTAACTTCGACCGGACTCGATGGCCACCTCTTCAGGGCTACTGAAAAATTGTACTTGCAGGTACTCGCCTCTGATCTCCCCCCCTAACTTCACATCTTCAGGCTGCTGTCAGATCGTGAAACAAGAAATGGAGATTTCGTGCTCTATAACACCTAAATGACCTCTTAACTCGGGTGTTCCCATGTGAGAGCCACTGACTTTTCCAGCTCAAAATCTTGCTTCACGTCACGCCAACGAGTCACGCATTTTCGACTCTCGCCAGAGCTTGGCATACAATTCTAATTATGTTTTAATGTTGAAAATAAAATTCGAAGGGGAGTTCGTGCGGGAAAAAAATTTAGACCAAATAGACATACGCTATGCTTAGAAATGGGATCGGGGCATGAGATCAACAGAGTGGACAGAGGGGAATTTCGCTTAACCGTCACTCATTTGTCACCCCTCTCCTCTTACGAAATTATTAACGGCTTTATTTCATTTTTGAGCAGTGGCGGGGCAGCCACTGTTCCCCTCAAAACCAACCGACTCAGCATCAAGTGCGACAGTTATCAATCACAAAATATACTTCAGATCCGCGTTAGAACAACTATAGGCAAATTTAATTATTTTTTTCCTTTTCAAGGCTTTCAAGGCCTTCAGAGAATCGAAGGCTTGGATGAAAAGGGAGTGCGGATCCAACAATCTAGTCAGCTTAATTTCTTCGTTATGGGTTTATCGCGATAAACTGAGTGGAAAGATGCGCCATCGTATCAGTCGTAGTCTTTATTTTTCATCGCAGAGTGGATTGTAGAAGAAACTTTAGACATATCCCGAGGGCATTCATCGGCTATTCGAGTTGAAGGGAAATGAATTCTCTCATGCCAAAACATGTATTCCTCAGGGACGGTGGGAAATGCCCGAAGTCCCATCCACAATCTAGACTTCTATGAAAAAATATTCAGACTAAATCTCTCGATTATGCTGCCTTAAATGTTGCATGAAGGCAGAGGATCGCGTGTAGGCATACAAAAAATCTCATTTCCCTATTACTGTCTTATTGAAGCGAGACATTTCATTGAGAATCTGACCAATGTCCCAGAAACGAATCCTCTGATCGAAACGGATCCACTCTCACCTCAACGCTGGAGGCGATCGAGGCCACAAACGCCCACGTTACAGTATCGGCCCCTGACCTCACACACCCTCTAAGTTAAGGAAACATCAACCCTCAGCGCCCGATCCCGCCAAAACTAAAATCTAGTGTCTATATATTTCACCTGACCCCCAGTCGACCGAGGGCGCGACAACCCGAACCACAAACGGACGATACCTGCGCCGCAGTCCGCATCCACATCCACCCAGCACCCAAACGAACCCAACCCCACGGAAGTCCCAGACACACTATAGGCACAAAACGCGCTCGAAGTTCGAAGCCACGTTCCCCACAGGAGTGAATGCATGCCCAGTCCTCCCATGCCATGCCTTTCGATACATCCTGACCCCTGCGCACTTCCCACTCCCGCCCCCCGGTCCTTCCCCAGTCCCCCTTCCCCCTCCTGTCCTCCACTGCTTCCTAGCCCGGCGCACTCCTTCCTCCTCTTCGCCTCGGACTTCAAGGATGACCGCACGAAAAGCAGCGACTCGACCCGAACACGCGTTTCAAACGCTCTCCACCGTGCACGAATCACGTAAACCTCTCCCATTTTTTCCTCTGGGGGAATCGATCGAAGGACTTCATTAACACATCCAGGCACGCTTTTCGTCGTCTACCCAAGCATGCCTCCCGAAGCACACTTCTCCCCGTCTAGCCGAGCGCAACCCGTCACGACTTTAATTACCCGAGTCTTTTGAACCCTGGAGGACCCCGAGCGACAGACGCATATGCCGCACCAGGCGTCATGTCCCGCACACAAATCAATGAGACATAAGCATACATACATCGTCTAGGTGGAATGGTAGCGTGTTGTGAAGGGCTTTGATCAAGGATTCAGGCCCGGCTCAACAGAAATGCTCTCATTAAAACTCCCTCCACCAATTATATCGCATCTCGCGCTCCTCACGAATGCTTCAATCCTTCCGTGCTGGCAAACCGGAAAACCTTCGTAATTGAGCCCCTTCCTTTCATTAAAGTAATCATGAAAACATTTACATAAAGTGCCGACAGAAGAGCTCGTACGCATCGTCTGCTGCTACTCTTGTGGTCTGAGGCCAATTTCCATCTCTGTCAAAAACTTCACCGACTCTGCGTCCTTTTCAGCATCGACGAACATGGCATGAACGTACCGAGGGCATGCCATGACCACAACTCATCCATCTGTGCCCACATGTCGCGCATTATGTTGGCGGTTTGCTCGGTTGACATGATCGGGGAGGCGTGATCGATTCCAATACAGCGTTAGATTATCATGCCCCTCGGAAACTCCATTACGAAATGGGGAACTGTTGGAATCCATGGAAGTGTCGTTATGAAGTGAGCGGGGGGAGCGCTTCGCTTCCAATATCGGCACACGTGCTTCGCCCCCCCCCCCCCTTCCCCTCCCTCTCCCCCTCACTCGGCAAGAGAAATGCAATAATTCGGAGGGAAAAATAAGGAGAAAAAAAAATGATTAGAGCTGAAAGGGAATCGAGTGAGTGGCATCATTTCGCATGCATGTCGATGGGAACTTTCGGGACAGGGAAGCGTCCCGGTCCCAATCAACGCAGATAGTAACCTCGTAGGGAAAAGAGCAGCGATGCTGGGAAATAAGAGCACATCATTAAAGGGTCA